ATTGAAGATGAGGCGAAGTACCTCACTGAAAATGGAACAGCTGCAACACAAATGAACATACCAAAGCTGACATTGCAGTTTGTGAATTCAGTATTCGGATCATCTGAATTGCTTGTTGGCACTAAAGAGAGACATGCTCTAAACAGACGTGTTGCGAGAGCGTCTTATTAGACTGGCTGTTGACAGAGTGCACACCACTAAAATAATAGGTGTTCTTTTCCATCAATTTAATAAAAAAGTATATATTTTACACATATGCATGGTATGCAAAAATATCAGTATCATCAGCTTGTACATGTGTACTGGTGAAAGCGCAGGCAGAGATGAAACACCATCAATGCTAAATGGATAAAATTAGGGAACACATGTCAGAGCTTGCCAGCCGTGGGCTGCTGGTTGAGAGACGCTTGTTTAGCTGCTGACTCTGTACTTAAGTCAAGTTCAAATGAGAGTAGTTTTCCAATTTCGGACTATAGGATCATATAGATATAAATGAATAACATATGCAGAAAGACTGTGGTTGATATGAAAAAAAAACATGAAAATAGAGTTAAATTTGAGATCACTGACACAAAAACATGCTTTTTCGATGACAGTAAAGAACCTCAGGAGAAGTTCACCACTGTCATAAACATCTCTTTTGCTCAATTGGGAATTAAAGCAAGACCTCAGAGGAAACACACACACATATAATCACATTTTCATTGATCACTGGGACTTGCTGTGTTCTCGTCCTCTCTCTACTGACATTAAGGTCAATAACAACAAATAAAGAGCAGTAGCGTAGAAACAGAGTGAGTTAAAAATGAAAGCTCATGTTAAAGATACTATAGAGGATTGGTAGCAAAAATAAAATGCTAAGGTAAGACGACATCAGCAAAATGAAGTGTCACTATGCAGTGTGAACAGTTGCTTGCCTCACTCTTTCGGTCAATTCCTCCAGAATCCGTCCTCCAACCCAACCAATAATAAAAGCAGTACAGCGTAAAGCATCATACATATGTGGAGTTTAATGGAGTATATTTGATGAGTTTATTTTCAGGTGTGTAAAGTCTGCCAGGGCTAGTGCTAACTGCTAGTGCTATCATGAATTATTAAGGTACCTCTCTAGGTGTCTTTGAATCAGCTTTGATGTATTTCTTTTTATGTACCCTGATCGCTCAGATTCTACACCGTCATTATACCTACATTATGTAGGAGCCCCACACCTTCTAATGGCCATAAACATTCAAGGGACAATCATGTATCATGAATATATCCAGAAACTAGTGCTGTCGACTGAATATAGTGTGATTAATTATTCAAAAATAATAATGTGATTAAAAAAACTACATCATTAATCATGTCCCCAACACATAAATTCTGCAAAAGGGGATTTTTTCTACCATCAGAGCAATTCAAGTTTGAAGTACCACCTTCGTGTTTTTGCAAGTACATGCAGACTGATCATTAAAAAATACCTCAGAATGACAAGGACAAAATATAATATTCCTTTATGATTAATGTTATGAAAATAAAAAAAAAATTGTAAGGTGACCATCTATTCAAAGATTTAATCATCTGCCATAATAATGTAACAAATCTTTATCTGGCATTTTTTCGCAGTGATAGATTCAACTTATTGTTATCAATTTCATGATGTGATCAAAATTTGATTTGATTCTCCTTCATCAACAGCCCTGCTAGAAACGTTGTTATAGCGTTTACTGTCCAAATAACAGTACAATAACTGTCAAACAATGACATAAACTGTTCTAATTTATTCAAACGAACAAACCCTTTACCTTAAGCTACTACCCTACTAAACTACCAAAAGAATTTCACACACTTTTCTACCAAGATGCAGATAATGCTCAACTTTAACCCGACAAATGAAAAGCCTCATGGCGTGAGTTGAACTTAAATCTCCAGTTTAATTTGATTTATCTGCTCCCTGTGTCTTTGAATTCAGACCGCTCCATCATAATGTCAGTGCATAATTTATGAGTTGAACAACAACAATTAAGTGATGTATATAAACAAATTTCGGGAGGAGCACGCACAGATAATTAACACGGCCAGTTCATCATTAGTGATTACACCATTTATCCAGTCAGCGCAAGAGAAAACTCCTATAAATAACCAAGTACGTCCTACCTTCGTTATCTCTCAACTTTCAGCATCCCTCCACCACCCCGACCCTTCAGCATAGTTTCTTCCCCAGCACGGGGAGAAGCACTCGGGGGGAGCACCGAGCTCGGAGCCCTCTCCCTGGACAGCATGCCAAATACGCATAACTTTTATTTAATTATATGTAAGTGTGAACTTGTGAAAACATCAACACGGAAGACTCTACATAATTCACTGAATGACTTCTAGAGAAAGACTGGTTGTCTGGTTAATGACGGACCGGTCTTTGAAGTCTGGGATTCGGCGGCTCTATGAATATCATGAATAAAACAAGAGAAAATTGTACTAATTCGATTCATTTATTCTAGAACATTGATTTTGTTAGGAAAGCCATCTGTGTTAGTGAAACATTTTCCTGCATGAGAAGCATGAGAGTAGAGCGGCCGTTCTCACCAACTGTTCCGGACAAGCACCATGTGCTAACGTAAGGCAACTCAAGTGCGTCAAATACAGCACTCGATACGTGACATAAGTAATATGATATCCTTATGACTCAAATAACTGAATCAAAAAGAGCATGAAGCTCTTTGAAGTACTGTCATGAACTGAATGAAGAAGGAAGCATTGCACTGTAATTTTGCCTTCCTGCCATAAAGAAATATCCAGATGGCCACAGAGGTACCCTACCTGCCCAAACACATGTCAAGTACAGTCTTGTGCCCTTTCTTTTACAACATACCCTCTCTTCAGCTCCTCCAGTTCTACCATGTGTGCCTGCACGTAACATGGGGTCCATTGAATGCTGAAGCTCTAGCTGGGAAAAAGACAGTGTTTAGCATTCCACCTGGTCATTAGGCAGCTGTGCAACTGATATATTCTGAGCCCCAATGTAAAATTAATGCCACCCTCGTATCAACCTCAGACAGACAGGCTAATGAGAGCATTGGAACAAACATGGCATCAAGTATTCCATATGCAGCACTATATTTTTAGCTCCATCTTCTTTTCACACTTCAGTGGCCTCAATCTTTAAACCCCACAACAAAAAACAAAAAAAACGTTTCTCTCACGATAGACTGGTGATTAAGCCTAACTTGGCCTAACCCAGAAAGGTTTACAAAGCCCCAAACAAAGCAAAACAAACAAAGACCTGGCTGGCGGTCATTAAACGGTCAGGGTTAGTTGCTAATAGTGGATAGTGTGAGGCAATTAGCACAGGGTCCAGGAAAGCCCTCGGCAGTCCTAATTAAGTCATTTCTAAGTTCACTGCAGAGGCACTGGACCCGCTTATCACACCCAAGAGGACTGCAGAAACCAACACAAGAGAGAGATCCAGGCAGAAACAATGGTAATTTCTAAATGATGTACTCGCTATGCTGTCTACATGAACTTCTGTTCTTTCCATAAGGGACCTTTTCCTTAGCCCACAGACAGTCTAAGCCTGTTGGGTGAAATGTTTTACAACGAGGGTCAGCTGTGATCTGCTGATGGTCAGTTTGAATGTTTCGAACCGGATAAACGAAGACCTCAGTCATCTACATTCACTCATTTTTCGCTGGCATCTGCTCTTGGATTCTCCTCTTGCCTTATGCTCTTCCTCTTTACCTGAGCTCTGTCTTCCTGGACAACAGTGTTAATGGCCATGCCATCAGGTCAGACTACAGCCCTCACTGGCATCTCTCTTCCTCTCTTCTGAGCTTCAGGAGCTGTTCACATTGCACTAGCTTTCCAGTGTTTTTCTATGTAAACACATACTAGATGGACGTATTTGGACATAACACTCACGTCTTGCATCTATTGCAGCTTCTCATTCATGATACAGCATTCTAAATACACAATGCCCAAGTTAAAATAAGTTCAACTTTTGAGAAAAAAAAAGTGTCTCCAGACCTTGAGTTTTTTCCCCATTCTATTGCCCGTCTCGTGTTTTTCAAAGCAAAAGTGTGTTCTGTGTGAATGGCCCCTTATGCTGCACTCTATCTTTTCGTACATTTCTTTCTCACTCATTTCTCTCACACTCACTCATCTGGTTTCAATTGTATTATTCATACTATATTTCAATATCTATAATTATTTAATCCAATATGTAACTTTTTAAAACCGTAACATCTGATTAAAGCAGTTATGTTCATAAAAAAATTCTCTTTCAAAAAAGTAATCTATTAGCATTATCTAGCCATGGTTATTTCCATTGTTTGTACAGTATAAGGAGCAGAAGTGATCATAGACAAGAAATCACAGTGACAGTCTCAGGCGTCATATTTATATATATTTATATACAGACATACCATATTTATATATCATGCTGCTCATCTTTAATCATTTCAGCCCTACAACAAAAATCCAATACAAATGTAATTAGCATACTAGATCTTTTGTTTGGAAACCCACATATTCACGTAGGGTATTTCTTATTCTTAGCCGAAGATCAGATTAAATAAAATCGAAAGAAATTATACAGTATAATGTTATTGTATATTTTGTATTTAATTTATTTAACAAATAATAAATGGATATTCTTGAAGACAGATAACGGGCAAATACAGAGGTTAGAGGTAAAAAATAAATAAATAAAACAATCTGCGTATATTGTAAAGTAAATGTCTAGCCATAGCATTTAATATTTTCCATGAGAAATCTAAAATTGACATCAAATAAATCAATAGCAGAGCTTGAAAAAAAATTCTCAAAGGGAATCTCAAGGGAAAATCATTTGAATTACAAATTGACTGTTGTCATCTGAAAAGGCGCTACAAGGGATTTTTATCCTAACCCACCATTAAAAAATTGTTCCTATTGTGACTGAAGTCGTTTTTGTCTCTGAGTCGGTAGGTTTTAAGCGTTTGAACCTAAATTTAACCTGAAAGCGAAAACAATCTTCTGTCTCTTACCTCCAAAGGGAACTCTCAAGAACTTTGTTGGAGTCTGCATGGTAATATTTAGTGAGAATGAGGATGACCTACGAAGAGAAAAAAGTGACATTAAACATTGAAGAAAAGAATTACATTTACACATTTTATGTACAATTCCATTAAAAAAATACAGTCGTGTCTGAAAATCACATTGAAAATGTGTGTGAGATGGAGCAATTTGAACACATTAAGAACACTCAATCCTGCTTTCTCTTGTAGGATCTCATATCTGCAGCGGACATTGCATTTGCAAAAACTTTTTAGTCTGATACAGTCGTGTCTGAAAATCACATTGAAAATGTGTGTGAGATGGAGCAATTTGAACACATTAAGAACACTCAATCCTGCTTTCTCTTGTAGTCAAGTCAAGTCAAGTCACCTTTATTTATATAGCGCTTTTGTAGGATCCAATTGTAGGATCTCATATCTGCAGCGGACATTGCATTTGCAAAAACTTTTTAGTCTGAGAAACTGAATTTGCTGAGAAAATGTTCTCTAAACACAGCAGAGAGACATCACTGCAAGTGTCTAGTTCCTCAGACTCACATAGAAGCATGATGTGTTTGTGGTGTTAGAAACAGCATATGCTAACCTCATTTGACAGATCCATCAAACCGTAACCACTTGATGGACAACATCTTCCTAGCTTCTGCTAATAACTTACTCTTTTTTTATCTTTAGGACCGACTGCACTGCAAGCAGTTGCTATAGCACTGATGAACATAGCATGAAGCCAAGTTACTTTCTTCAGCTGGCAGTAGGGAGTTAGCAGTATGGAAAAGACTGACAGAAGCTGTTAGCCTGTATTGCTACAGTCACAGGTTTAAACACTTGGACATTAAGTTAAAACGAAGCCCAATATACTGAAACATTATCTAAAACAGGTTAGCTGTTTTACAACCTCTAAATCCATAAAACAAAATAAGTCTTTTATAACTGGTCTGGATTAGATTCATCACTGAAACTCCAGCTGGTGATGAGGATCAGATTATATTTAGATTTTCTGATGACATCACCACAGTGCGTCTATCTTCTTGATCCTTTTTTCTTCAAGAGTTTTTTTTCTTTCTTTCATAAAACCACAAAAATCACACATGAAATATGCAAGTGGGGTGACCAGTCTCAACAAGCAACATAGCTTTCATTTATCAGTTACATTTTAGTGTTTTTCTAATCCAAACATACGGTATATGATACACAGCTATATAATAGGTCTGAAATTGCATATAGTGACATCTTGCTAATTAGAATTTATGTTGGAGGGTTTCTGTATGTATTTATCTGTGTTGTGGCATTTTTAGCAAGAGCAAAGCTTAAAAAGCAGCTACCTTGCTGATTAAGCTGCCAGTAATTGCTTCAATCAACACAACGCAGATAATGAAATCTACTGTAGCTCCACCACAAGATTCTTTCTGCAATGTGATTCTACTTGCCTTGAAGTATTTTCACAATGAAAGCCACTATATCTCTATAAAACTGGTTTCAATCCCAGGACTTACTGTGTTTGTGTAATGGACGGTAAATGCTTTTTTTTTGTGCATGAGATGACAAACACATGACGAATAGAGAGCACGCACACATAGGCTACACAAAATGATGCCTTCCTCTGGTCTATTTGATGAGGTATAAAAGCCAGTGTGAGGTGTATCCTTAAAGTCTCTCCTATTTTTTATTCATGTTAGTAGGACGCCTGAGTTTGCAGTAACATATCAGTAGAGTGTGAGTGAAGGGGTATGACTTGTGTCTGTGTGTCTCCTTTATCTTTCTCTGCTGCCTCACACACTGGGTCTCCGACAGCAAAGCCCAGCGGAAAAGCATTGCCACGAAAAAGGGTCAGAGAGACTCAGGGCCTTGGCAGAGTGATTGACAGGTCAGCACTGGAATGTGGCATGAAAGCGTGTGGACCGGGCCAGCGTTGGGCTTTGCTTGGAGGATCGGCTGAGAGGGTTATTGCCCTGAGCCTGTCCCTCCCTCTGCAGACGACAGAGGCGCTAAAGGTCAGAAAGGTGTGAGCAGAAAAGCAAAGGTTTTTTAACAGTATGGAGGTTGTGTATGGCCGGAAAGCTATTTGAAACTTTATCAGTGATCCATGGGAGGTCTCAAATCCAACTGTACCAAAACCCAGTTCATTAAAAATTAAGTTATTCATGTCAAAATACTGTATAAAGTGCATTGCATTCAAGCCAGAATATTTTTGAAACAAAACATTATAATGTGATTTATTTCTTACAATTAAAAAAGTAATTTAAAAAGCAGTTTTCTAGGCCAAATGTTTTGTTCTAATAAATGTTTTTATTTTTTTTTATGTTTTTAAATACAGTTCAGCTGCTCTGAACATTGAGTGATATAAGTTTAATATTAGCTTAATTGTGAGATTCATTGTAATCATTCCTGCTTTCCACATTCATAATTATTCATAAAAAAGAAAAAAAAATTCCCACACACTGTTATTCGCTGTAATATTCCACCAGTTGGTAAGATTTTTAAAATCTTTCTGAAAGAAGTCACCAAGCCTGCATTTATCAAAAATACAGTAAAAAACTGTGAAATATTACGTATTAAAATTTAAATAACTGTTTTGTATTTTGCTATATTTTAAAATGTAGAATATTACATTTATTATTTTGATGACAAAGCTGAATTTTCAGCAGTCAGAAATCATTCTTCATAAATTATTCTAAGATGTTGATTTGGTGCTCATGAAACAAAATGTTTTATTGCTTAATATTTTTGTGGAAACTGTGATTACACACACAGACATTTAAGTTAAAAAGTTCAAAAAAGAACAACATTTATTTGAAATAGAAACATATTGTAACATTCTACATGACTATACTGTCTGTCACTTTTGATCAATTTAATGCACCCTTGTTAAATAAAAGCATATTATTTCCTTTAAAAATATCTTACTGGGCCCAAACTTGTAAAAGTTCATGTATAAGTGAGAATAAACAAACTAAATCTATTTGACTGTAATTCTACAAATAGTGCATATGAATCAATAATCTTGTTCGTTTGGTTTTTTCATTTGTGATTTGAGCAAAAACGAGCCATCTGATCATTATCAAAATTGTTCAAACCAAGTCTGCTTCTTGTGCTTTATTACTCCACATATTATGTTTCTTTCCTTTCTCTCTCTGTCTTTGTCTATCATCAACTTCCATCAAAACTTCCATGAAAAGCATCTCAGACATCAGGCCCCCAAACATCCTCTTGGCTATTCATGCCATAATTTGTCAAGAACATAACTATTTACCAGATGTGATCTGTAACTAATTTAAAGAACCTTTCTCTCTGGGAACACTGAAGAACATGAGGCTATACTGTTACTGCAGACACAGCTGTATCTGGAAGAATAACCAAGTATCTTTTTCCACTTGTGATTTTTAAAGGCCTTACATACTTGATGATGAATAAAACATTTATCAAACAGTGGATGAGTGGTCTACATTCACTCAACAAGACAGAAGGCATTTATGCTTTCCCACAATGTGACCACCAACAACTGCGAATATGCCTTATTCATCAATACAGACAACATTTTGACAATTCCTTTTGAATTTATTATGCTGAACCTAATCAAACATATTAGCTGTCCACAGCGCATTTGGCATCAGGCTACACAGCGAACAGTTTTCTCAGCCTACCCAGGGGGCCGAGTGCCCCCGCACAGGCGTCAGATGGTGGCCTTTGGAAAAAGTCTGTCTGCACCCAGCTGTCTGCAGTACAACGCTAATGAACCACTGGGAGCAAAGCCTTTCACTCACTGAAATCATGCAAATACAGTTTGAGGAAAAGAACAACTGATGATCAGCAGCTTAGAGCAAAGCCCCCCGAACTTATTACTGACATCAGCATGCAGAGAATAATCTTCACATCATTTACTTTGAGCTATAACAAAGCTGACATCAGCTGAGAGTGAAGGGAAGCAACGACTTCCTTAATACACAGGCACTCTGGTGGCAGCCCCTCAGTTTATCTGTTTACCAAGAGGAAGTGAGAGCAGACAAAGAAATACAACAGCAGAATCAGCACTGAGGACGAGACAAACCTGTTATTGAGAGCGAGTCTTGTTCTCTATACTATTTTGAGACAAAAAAGATCAATCAGATCAATCATTTTAAGTGCATTAAGTGATTTATGCATCACAACATTATAATGCAGAGCAGTATGAAAAAGGGATATTCAGTTTCGGATATTCCTAATCACATTAAAAACACGAATTATTTAATAACACTGTTAAAAGATTAAATTTCAGTGACTGTTCAATGCCAACACAAAATCTATATTGTGGAAATGAGCTAAATGTGCTAATTTAAATAGCTAAAATCTAAAAATGCCTGTAATTGGAAGTAGAGAGAGATCTTTGTTCCACATTGTGATATACATCTAAGTGTAAAAGATTATTGCGCACATCGCTAAAAATAAAAGATCCGGCCCATAATTAAAAAAATAAACTTCAGCCATTCGTTTCTAATACTAAGGTCTTTAGGAAAGCTATGCAAAGTTTTGGGAGGAGCAGAACGCACATTCTTGATTAAAAATGACAATGATGCATGTTAAGGGCCATGTTGAGGAAGATTTTTCTTCCTGATTTCAAATCTGGGCGCTTCAAAAGAGTAGAAAAGAATAATTCATATTTTAACTGGGTAGGTAGTTTTGAGTTCTGAAAATGGCAGTATGTTTTTATTGCAGAGTAATCTCTTTTATGTTTAAATATAAGCAGCACTTTGATTTTCCTTTTCATTAATTTCCATGAAAAAAATAAAATCACATTTCTACTGCATAGACAGACAACTTCTATTAAAAGGCCTTCTTTCAAACAGTGAATTACTGCTTTTAAAAAATCTAACATTGAACAATATCAAACATAGCACCATAGCACCAGCCTATCAGGTGTACTTCCTAATCCACGTAAGCACATATATAGCGTATCCTGGCCTGTGTTCGGTACGTTGTGCAATTATGAGAACTTACGTTAACCTTCCTCCTCCCCAGTGCCACCTGTAGAGATCTGCTGGGGGTTCTACATTCTTAAAGCAGCCAT